AAAGAATCGGAGAGAGAAGAGAACCATAGGAGAATCAAATACACGAACCAAATACCTGTTTATAAAATTTCTTGTCAAACACAAAAAACATAGAGATAAGAATCAAATTAATAATTATAAGAAACTTGTTTTTGGGAATACGAATCTTATTAGAAATATAATCCCATCTTTTACAAATATTATCTATTACCAAATTAGATAGAATGTTGGTAAAAAGAGAGATAACATCTAACGAAGCTAATTTAAAATCATTTGTTGGCAAGCATTTTTAAATATCGTCGATACAAAATCTTTAAACAATAACTAGTTTGAGCTGTCCATGTATTCTGTAACTTTCATCAGATTGTAGTTAAACATTCCTGATTCACAAAAATAGAAAGTAATTTTTATTGACTTATTCTTTTATTTAACTTGACGTATTTTTCTTTTTTTAATATGATAATTTCATTATATATCTATGGATCTTATAAGAATTTTATACTTTTATTGTTTATTATGTACTTATTTATATTTATTTCACACTAATGTATTATTTGTAAAAATTCTTGTGAATGAGTAAGATAATTAATCAAATAATCTTTTTGGAGTTGTAAGCATATTGTACTACCTTGCTTTCAATAATACTAATCTTATACCTATGAACATTTGCGATAACAGAGAGATGATGCAGGTTTTGTACATCAAATTGCGTACCATCATTTTAATTTTTACAATTGAATTAATTACAATTGTTGTATGTAATTACAATTGTTTAATATAATTTGCGTTTATAACTGTTTAAGATGTAATCTTATATTTGTGATGACATTAATAATGACCGAATGTTTTAATCAAAACATATGTTTTTATTTTATTTGAAGTTATTTGAAATATTATATTTTAGCAACTGTAATCTAGTTATTGCTCATATAGTACCCCTAGTGTCACATTTATATTGTTTAATTACAAGTGAGCATTATATATTTAGTTTTATTTATTAATTGTAATTTTTAATCACATTTTAATTTTTTTCACGGAAACATCAAAGTTAAAAATTCGTATTTTATCTGTTATGTTACAATAAAAAGTATTGAGGTACACGGACTTCGTCAACAGATACGGTAGTGTGTGTCAATTGTAACTAGCGCGAGACTGCCCGTGTCTTTACATGAGGCGAATTGCGAGTATCCAAGATTATCGAATTGTCTATAGTCTATACGTAGCACATTTTAAGCAATTTATATTGTGATAACATCTCCTATGTAATGATTTCTTTATTCTAACCTATTTTTTACTAATTCGAATTTTAGTAAAAAAAAATATTAAATCTTAATAATACACGTTAAATGAGCAAACTTTGAAAATGCGTTTTGTTTAAAATTTCATTTTTTTAAATTAGAGATGGCGTAGTGTTTAAAAGACTCACACATATTATACTCCGAAATGTTCAGAAAGCATTTTTTCATTATTTACTTACTGAAAAATATAGACATTTCGAAGTGCATATTATGTTTTTTAATTAAAGACCAACAAAATGCATTTTTAGCAATTATTTAGCAATTTTGATTAATAATACATCCTACAGATATATCCGAGCAAAACAACAAATCATTATGATATCAAAATAATGTCAAAATAACTTCAAAATGATTATTAAAATTCATTTTCCAATCAATTTTTCCGATTCACTTTAATGTCATTTTGTTATCGTTGACTTATTCTGCCTGAGTATTGTTATTCTCTGTAACATGCGTAATTTTCTTCTTGTGTACATAGTTTCTTTCTTTCTCGTTTTCTGAAAATTACAAATTTTGGATAAAATATATTTTGAAAGTTTGCTCCTTTCAAATAATGTTTAACAAACATTTAAAAATTTTTCCTTAAACCATATAATCCGAGCAAGCTATCAATTGAAATAAATGTTAAATAAATATTCTATTAACATTTCAAATAAATAAATAATGTAAAACAAACATTTAATAAATGTTAAATAAACGTTAAAAAAAGATTTTCTTAAATCATTGTTTTAAATGAATAATTAATGTAAAATAAACGTTTAATAAATGTAAAATAAACATTAAAAGAATGTTTACTAAAATCATTTTCTCATATAAATAATTCATGAAAACTAATTATTTAAAAAATAATAAATATGTAAAAACGTTTTTTAGAAATTGTTATTTGATGAAAAAATGTTAAATAAATATTTTTTTCAGAAATAAGTTGAAGAAATAAATAATTATTAAAAAAAATATTAAAGAAACATTTAAAGAATATTGTCTGTTGGGACATTTTCTCTTAATCGTTTCCATTTTATTTTTTTAAACATATCTTTAATATATTTCTTAGTCGTGTCTGTTGTCTGGAATAAAGATAAGCAATGTTACTCTCTGATAATTTTCTATATTATAAGAAATAAATAAAAGTAACTTTATTTTGTTAGCAACATAAATTTACAGAATTATTTAAAAGAGAAACAAATAAACACAAAAAATATAATAAAAATTAATTCAGGAGTCAATTAATATTTCATTAGATTTATAAAATACATTAGATTTATCAAATACAAAAATAAAAAAATATTGGAAGATTTTTCTTTTATTATATTTTATTATAGTTTTTATTATATTTTTTATTATATTTTATTATAGTTCTTTTATTATAGTTTATTTCCTTTTCTGGAAAAGTTTTTAAAATTATTTTGCTAACAAAGTAAAGTTACTTTTATAGAAAAGTTCATTTCACTCATAGAGCCAAAATATATCGTTAATTAGCAAACACATCTTGCTATAATATTGTAGCAAATTTGATTCGATCACGCAGTTTAAATAAATTATTCGTTAAACGAAACCATTTTGGTAGTTTTGCTAGTTTTGCAAATGAGCTTTGCTAATGTAGCAAATTGTATCGTTAATGCAGTAAAAAAGCTTAGTTAATTAAACAAAAATTAATTTGTTCTTACAGCAAAATAATTTGTAGTTTTAGCTATCCATATCAAATTATATCCATATCAAATCATCAAATAGCAATCAGTACTCTAAATGAATCTTTTTGTTATCCATATATTGACAGATTTTGTTATTGTAGCATAAAATCTGCTGTGTGTAAATTATTTTTCTTCATGTAACAAGCATCTGGAGCAATGTTTCATTAACGTTCAATTAGTACTGTTTGTTTCAGTTAAATAATGAGTGCATTTTCTACGAATATTATTGAAATAGGATAATGGCTCAGTTGACAGAGGACTCTACAAACAACAGTTGCTGAATTTTCTTTTGAGTACTTATTAAGAATGTATTTGAAACTAAACTAAAAGATGTATTAAATGACAAAAAGTCTATAAAAAATATATTTGGAGACAATAAATATAAAAATGTTATACAGACTTTAATTTTAAATTTCTGTATCATATGTACAAATTTGACGCACTTTCTTTTCCATTTTATTAGCTAAGATAATAGTACAAATCGCATTCTATAAAAGAATATTAATGAATTATCAATGTGAAGTCTTATTTTTAAGAAATAGAAGTAAGAAAACGAGTAACAGTCATCAATTTTTGCCTTTAACTAGAAAATAAAATATATATGTTTTTCTATAGTTTTCAGGCTGCAGAATCACGTGGTATAATTAATTTTTTATAAACATATAGTAAATGTGAAAGAAATATGAATATGTAAATAAACATAAACGTGCAATAAAAATGAGATAGACAATCTTTTTTAACATTTTATCGAGAATGAACAAATTTATAAGATTTTATTGTGATAAAGTAAAAATAAAAAAAGAAACAAACACAAGGAAATTCGAAAAGTATAAAACAAAAATCAGATACTCATGCTTTGCACATCATTTTCCCGCCTTTTTGAATTCTATACTTTTAAATCCCAGAACCTGAGACAGTTAGTACCGAGACTTTCAAGCCCCATATCTATAAACTTCTACTTTCTCATAAACTCTAGGATCTTTAAAACTTATTTGTAGACTTCTAAATTTCAGACCTTTAAATCTTAGTATGAAAACCTAGACATTTCATCATGCATAAATTCTAGACTTATAAATATCAAACACTTAATAACAATTTAATCATCAATACTATTATGATTGATCTTTTATGTCAATTTTGCTCATTCATCAACCGTTGTTATCAGGGTTACCCGATGCATCACGGGAAGGGCACGATCATTTGCATATAATTTAGCCTTAACAAAAACCAATTCTAATAATAAAATTCATATTATTTTGAGTGATTATATGTATGCAACGGTGATTATATATATGCAATTATATGCTCCTTTGTTTTGCGCGCGGGATGCGTGCGTGCGTACGTCATGCGTGCGTTTGTGATTTTAATACCGACCGAATGTGTACGCTTGCTTATACCGTATTAAGAATTCAGAATATGATTTTGAGAATTTTCGTTATCATTTTCAGAATAATTGCTAAAAGTGTTCAAATTGTATGCAAATAAAATTTGATGGTTTTTGTGGGTCAGAATATTTAAAAAAGTCATTATATATCTCAATTTTATGGCACAACTGTACTTCTTTATTCTTCAAATATTTACATATTTTTTTCTTTATGTTTATGGAAAACTAATTGCATCATGTGATTCTGCAATCTAAAAACTATAAAGGAACATATAAATTTCACTTCCCGGTTGGGATAAAAATCGATTTTTATTCCACATATACAGTACATGTCCTATTTCATACAATACACCTCATATACCAGAGAGTTTTTGCGAACGTTTTCAAAACGGGACATTCTCAGGATATTCTTCAGAACATCCCTTGAACTTCTGTACTATATGGGATTTTTCATTAGTCTATTCTTTATCGATGAACTTTTTGAACTACTGCACAATGCAACAAATTGAAATAAGTATTTATAGGTATAGTTTATTTTACTTCAATATAGATTTCACTCCAAAAAATTTAGAGAGTATTATACGTTATTTTTTTTCTAACGCATTAAAAATAGATTTATTAAATAGAATTTAGCTTAATTTTTATATTTACTCTGATTTTGCTGCATCCAATTGACATCTTAAAGTATTTTTCGCGTACAATATGTATTCCTTAGTTTCACTTTGTATATTTCAATTCCGTACCATTTTGATAGCTGTCATAATCTCTCGTTACTTGCATCTATAGATATTGGATAGCACTCTGAAAATTTTTTCCATGTTCTGAAAACAATTAAAGAAAAGGTGTCACAACCTCTGTGTGATTGAACTAGTGTGAACTAGTCTCCCTACCGCACATGCGCATAGATTCAGTAGATTTTTGGAAGATTCTGATAACCCACATCGCTTAAATTGGCCAATTTAAAATAAAATATTCTCATTGATAAAGCAGTAAAAAATTACTACGCATCCCGGCCAATGTGAGTGGATGTATATGCTATCGCAGGGACCCTCCCGAATTTTTGACATATGTATTTAAAAAATCCTTATCATAAAATTTCTTACGTATATATTTAAAACAAAGTTAGTAGTGTAGTGTATATTTAAATGTCTGTTCCTACAATAATTTTAAATATGTTCTCTTAGATGGAAACTCATGATGCAAGAAATGATGGTTCTTGTGCATACCTATTTTATTGCTATAGCCATTTAGAGCTTGGCCTTCTATTTGTCCATTACTCAATGGACTCAATAATTCAAATAAAATAAATATTATTTTGTATCAATGCTATGCCAATAAAACTCAATTTCACATATAATAAATATTTGAACTTTATACATAATAATTCTTTTTAATTCTTTTAATTTCTCTTACTTTTATATGTTGTTTAAGAGTATTATGTTCATAAACAAATTCAAAGTAACTGCAAATTTTATCCTTAGTTTTATTTCTGCATGATAAAATTTTATAAACTTATAATATCATGTTTCATGATATCACATAGAATTTTCTAATTTTTCTTTATTTTCTTTATTTTCCTGGGAATAGTTCGTTTTTCGAATTCTTTTGATTTCTTTTACACTCTAGAATAGTTCCATCCACAAAAAAATAATTCCTGTAAAATTTTAGATAGAATATCGAGAGACTGCGCCCTTGGCTTAAGGAAGTTTGCTGCCTTAAAAAATCGAAAAAAATGGTGATTTATCGTAATCTTCTTCAAAAAAAAGACTAATTTATCATTTTAAAATTTTTATTGTTTTAAAACATTTGCACGTTTTACTATTGTATAACTATTGTAGAAATTTTTGTACAAATTTTTATGTGAAAAAAAGTATTATAAATAATAAAAATATAAACATTTATATTTATATTTAGTTCGACGCCTCGCCACGACGCACAGTCAAAAAGACAGAAAAAGACCATAAAGTAACTTCGTAATTTTGACATGGAATCATAATTTTTCTCATATAAATACATCATAGCAGATCTAGAAAAATTTTATACATATATATATATATATATATGACTCCTAAGATTCAAATGTTTTTACAGATAGTTGAACGAAAACAAATTGCATAACAATTGCATGGATACGATGTTTTATTATGTCATAAATATGTATTATGAATTTCACCAATGCAAATCCAAATTTAAAATAGGGGTTTTATTGTCCTAATGAAAAAAGTCAAAATTTTGGAAAATTAATCATTCGGTTATCATTTAGTAAGACGCTTTTCAGCGTTTAAGGCCTTTTTCCAAATTTTGGAATGTCCGCAATTTTAGTCAATTCATGATATTAAAATTTTCAAGTTATCGTTGCATTTGTAAATCATTAACGAGTAATATATTTATACCTTTTTGCGCTTTTTCATCTAAATTTTTTATCTAAATTGTTAATAATCATATTTATATAGGATAATTCATTTTAATCGATATGATCGATTTTCTTAAAAACTAAAAAAGACACAAAAAAATGTTAAAACCTTTGATAGCTTAAAAGGGGAATAGAAAAGGATTATATCAATTTAAATATATAGTATTGCGTCTTTCTTGCAGAGAGAGTACAGATCCACAGTGGGCAAAAAGATGGAAAAAGTGACCAAAATACAAAACTGCACTCCAATCAAGAACAAGTATGATATTAAAAGATTTTCGGTATCATGATTCCGAATTCGAACTCAAAATTGGAAAATAAAAAATAGTGGAACCAATATGACAGATAGGAATGCTAAAAGTATTCCGATTCCGGTGCAGTATAAGAAGATTATCGAAATCGCTAGAATTCCGAATCCGAACTCAAAATTAGATAATAATTTCTGAATGAGTCAATTTGATCCCCACGCGACTACTGAAGAATTAAATATTGCTGATTAACAAACTTTTTCAGAGCAAGATATAGCAACGGTTTCATAGCGAATCAGCTTTTTTAAAAATTGCAAATCAGTACTTCAACGGCAAGAAGCCAAGCTTAAACATGAATTCCAGCACAACTGATCCATTTGAATTCGAAAAAAGTTCGTTTTCTTGATTTCTTTATAAATTAGCGTAATTTGTTCTAAATGAACTTAAAAAAAATTCCTTTCTGACAATTAATTAATAAAAGACTCCATAAAAATACTTCTTACAGAGTTAAATTGAAGTTGATTTAAAATCCTTTTTCTATTCGCAACGGGTTCAAAAAAATTCATTTTTGATTTGGTTACAATATAGATACTTGTACAAAATTATTCCCGCTACAAGTGATCTATCGCTATTGGAATTGTACTGTTTGAGTGATTACTGCGAGCGTAATAAAAATTAGTTTTTGCAATAGCATTTTGTATACATACATTCATATAAAAAATACACATACAAAATATATATTACGTGTATATATGCATATCTATACATACATAATCATACGTATTTAAATATAACAGTAAAACTTAATTTGAATAAAAAATGAACTTATTCTTATACAAAATTAAGAAATATAAATTAATAAAAATATGTGCTGCGACAAAAAATATAACAATACAAAAAAACATACACTATATATGATTTTAACAACTGATTTATATTTTCAAATATTTTCTTTGTTAAAACATTTTGTCGCAAAATATATTTTAATTAATTTTTATTTCATATTTCACAACATTCCAATAATCTCAATTACCTATTTAACCTATTTAACTTTTCGATTCCAGAAATAACATAAAATGAATAGCTTTAGAACTCTATTAAAATATTATCTAAAAGTTATTTCGATTTCATCGCGAATTTATTTAGACTAAAAAAAACTTTTTGAATTCAAAAAAGAACAATTAGTGATATAAAAGTGAATTCTTTTGGAACTCTTAAAAATATTTTTAGAACAGAAATGAAATAGAAAAAGAATTTGTAAGTCGAGAATGAAAAAAGAATTCTTTTTGGATTCTTTGTGTTATCTGGAATGATAATAAACAAATATAGAAAATACATGCATTTTTTTTCGCTATCAATTTAAATTCAGCACAAGAATATTTTTAAGCTATAAATAACTCTTGCCATTTATCTTGATGAATAGCAAAAATTATTTATAAAAACACACAATATCTTGAATTGTTAGAAAAAGATATTGAAATTTTTGTAACTGCGAAAACACTGACTTCTTAAACAAATTCAATATAAATCGAGATTTCATGCAGACTAATTCGTCAACTTTATCAAAAAGCGATGATTTTAAAAAAAGTTTTCAAGTAACCAAAAGTTTCCTGATCTTTTCAGTGCTTTTATTACAATTTTGTTTAAACGTTAAGATGCAATATAGGCGTCTTTCCCCTATAATATATAATATATATAATAATAAATTAATTATTGAAAATGAAAAATAAAAACAGTATTTATTACAAATTATTAAAAATTATCACTATCGTTTTCGGATTCGAAAAAACTTTGTTACAATAAATTATTTCACACAACCAATAGGAGATAAATTCCATTAAAATTCTAATGTGATTCTTGCTTGTAATAATTTTGTATGAATTCATACACTACGTGTATCCTTTAAATTGCGCAACAAAATAATTTTTCAGTTTTGAAACGCAAACTTCACTGAACAACTACAGTAATATCACAAGTTAAATTGACTACACTGAAAAAAAAATATAATCAATTTTAATAAATATTTAGTTAAATACTGCCAACTAAATATTTATTAAATATAAAGATATATATTTATTTGATACAAAAAATGTTAATTTGATTTAACAATCTTTTTTTTACTAAACAAATATTTATTTTTTTTTATTTATTTAAGTAAATATTTAGTTGGCAGTATTTAACTAAATATTTATTAAAATTGATTATATATTTTTTTTTTGAACTAAATTGAACTAAATTGAACTAAATTTATTAAAATTGACTATATTTTTTTTCAGTGTAACAATTTAACAGTTCAATGCTCAGTATCTTAGAACGATCTTAATAATAATAATTGAATAACATACTAAAATCTGTAAATAAATAATTTTATTGTGAAAAATATTACCTCGGCTGAGAGTTGAATCCAGATTTCTAGCATTTCGTGCGAGCATCCTAGGCCTTTAGACTACCAAGACCTTAGTAATATTCTTCTCAATAACTGGTAAACAACATTCTTATTTCAGGCAATGTAAATAAAGAATGTTAAACTCTTTAGTGGAAAAATTTCACTGAAATTATTTTACGTTTTGAAATATTTTTCAGCAAAATTTTAAAGAAATTTCAATTTTAGCGATTTTAGCAATATATTATCCGAAAAATTCACTTTCAGTGAAATTTCAACAAATTTTCAATTACGCTGAAATGTTTCAAAAAACACATAGAATAATTTCAGCGAAATTTTTTCACTAGGGCTAAGAGTAGGACCATACATATGAGTATACAACCAATAGGAAATAAATGCCATTAATGATCTAGCTAGATATAAAATGCTTGTATAATTTTGTGTGAACTTATATACTATGTAATTCTTTAAACTACGCGCCGAAATGATTTCGGTCTTGAAACGCAATAATTATTACATTATTATATGTATAACATTATTTTATTATGTGTAACATTGATAAAAATTTAATTTTTTAATAAAAACATTAAATCCTTTAATTTCTTCTCTTGACTTGAATCATACTACAATTCTTTTTAGCCCAGAAATCACATCTTCCAGCTCAAAAAGTGTAATATATTAGGTA